AGCTATTCCCTTTGTACCGTTAAAATAATATGTTTATTCTAAGTAGTGTTACGCTTATAGAGAGGAATATACAGCCAAATACAAAATACCTGCCATGAATCCCTTTTTTTGAAGTAGTTTTTTTATATAAACCATGTTGAATCCACTGTTAGTTCATATTAGAGGCTGCAAACTGACTGCATTTGTTTTGAATATTCTAGTCAGCCCTCATTGATGTAAAAGACATGGACAATGACCTTTCTCAGTATATAATGTAACATGCATGCAAATTTGACATTTGGGACAAAGTAGAGCTTACTGATGTGGATATCTTGCAGTGTGTAGGCTTTGAATGTGCGTGTGTCGGGGGAGGTTATAATTACATGGTATATGTATCATCAGTTAATTATGAACTCAATAATACATGTGGTTTATATTATATATCAGTGTCATGCTTCACTGAATATCATTCTATACATGATACAACATTTTTTAAAAAAACTTTTTGTGCATGAAGCAAACAGGAAAAAAGATGGCTTTACTGACGGCCCCCCGAACATCAGGTCCATCACTTTTTCTATTGGCACCATGCACTGAGGTATAAAAGGATGGATGGACGAGAGCTCAGGCTGACTCTTCTCACCTGGCCTTGGAATAATTTGCTTCAGTTGAATAACAACCCAACATTAAATTAATCATGGGTCGAGGTCAGCAGAGAAATTATATGGAATGTAATATATTACACGAACAAAGTACATCATGTTCTCATAATCAAATATCTGTGTGACGAGCTGATGCTAATGCCACATGCTGGAGGAGTTGATCTTAAAGGTCCCCTATTATACTGTTTTTCATCAATATATTATAGGTCTCAGATATATACAAAACATGTCTCTGAAGTGTTTGGCTCGAAATACCAAACAGATCATTGTAGCATCCCATAAACCCCTCTGTTTCAGCCCGGTTTCAAAAGTTCTAGGAGGAGATTCAGGTGATAAGGTGGGCAGGGGTTATCTTGGTTGGTGATTGGCTAATGGTTACACAAGCCAAAAAAATCGTTATGACATCATAAAGTGGCCAAAATCTGATCAGCTCATTTTCAGACGGGTTTTTATATAAATGGATCAGGACAAAAAGTGAGCAAATCTTTTTTCCTGAAACTTTCAGAATCTCTTAACGCAGAGGGGACACATGTTGATGTATAAAAGACTTGAAAAAGTGGATTTTGTATAATAGGTGACCTTTAATGTGTGTGTTTCTCTCCAGTGATCTGGTGAACGGCCTGGTTCTGTTGATGAACAGCAACATCAGCAGCCCCGTCAATCTGGTGAGTTCACCTTACCCTGCGGAGTCCCTCAAATAGAAGGAAACGCAGCATAAGCAGACATTTAACGCCCGTCTCCTGTTGACACTGAATGATGGACGTTTATGAAATGTTTTTTTACAGGGCAACCCAGAGGAACATACCATATTGGAGTTCGCTCGTCTCATAAAAAGTCTTGTCAGTAAGGCCTCCGATCGATCCAAGTATATGTCTTGTATGTGTGTCTCTGGAAGCTTCTAACCTTTTCTATCTCAGTCCCTTTGCTGTCAAAATTCGCATCTCTGAATTTCCCACCCCCACTTTATGTTTCCTATTGTCTGTCTTACTCATTCATTCCATTTAAGCCCCTTATTGTTAAAGCATAGCACACGTTTTCTATTAAGATTCAAAAGATTCTTTATAATATGATCTTATTGCCATATGCACAATGGCTTCGGCGTAGGAGTTGGCAATGAAAATCCCAGGCTCGTCCAGCAATGACTCGTACAATACACTTTGCAGAATAGAAAAAAAAAGTACAGCAGTGAGTTCCAGGAATAAGAAAAACTTATATATCTAAATAGAATCTGGGCAGTACAATAAATACTGTATAAGTGAGCACAGTATCAAGTCATCTCTTGCAGTCGTTACACTCGATACAACCATATATCATAAAGACATGTTTTACTGGAAGAAGCTTAGCTCGATGACTTTATATATTTATGGTTATTGGCAATAAAAAAGAGCAGATTGTTGAAGTTTTTTGTCTGGATAATGTTTTTCTATTTGAACAAACTCGCCGACATCAGGAACAGGAAAGCACGCTGTAGTGATCTCAAGTGGGCTTTCCATAGCCGATTGATTAGTTAGTTAGTTTTGAGGAGCCTGGTCTCCCTGCAGCAGAAACACTGCACCAACGCATGGAGCTCCACACAGGAGCATCAAAAAAAGCCTTGACTCATCCCTCTCTTTCAAAACTGTTATGTGATCATCAGCAGTATTAAAAGAGTAAGAAAAAGAATAACACAATGTCCTTCTCTCTGCATACTGGTACATGAACACACACACACACACACACACACACACACACACACACACACACACACACACACACACACACACACACACACACACACACACACACACACAGTGAGCAGAAGTGAGATCCAGTTCCTTCCGGAGGCTCAGGACGACCCCCAGAGGAGAAGACCTGACATCCGTAAAGCCAACATGATGCTCGGTTGGGAGCCAGTGGTAAGTGTGACGCATCACACACACACACACACACACACACACACACGCATACACATACACATACACACACACACACTACCTTGACAACCAATATCTGACCTATTATTTGATCGTAGTTATGTTTCCATCTACCTGTTCATTTTCAATTTGCTCAACAAAAATGACTCGGGTGAAAACAAAGGGAAATTGGATGAAAATGTCATGCCAGTTATGATCAGGGCTGAAAGGTTTTACAAAAGTGAAAGTGGAAAACAATTGAAATATAAAACCTTTACGGAAGTTATTTTTTCTATTTGTGGTCCTCTAACAACATCATAGATTTGTTTAAAGGTCTCCTATCATGCAAAATGCACTTTTTTATGTCTTTTATACATAAATGTGTGTCCCTGGTGTGTCAGAAAAGAAAACCCTCTCTTTTCCTCCGTACCCACATCTCTAAAAACGGGGGTGCAACAGAGCTGATCCAGATTTACTGCCGATATGACGTAATATCTGAAAAGTGGGCTGGCTTTACACCCACGGCCCTATCAGAAACGCTGCTATCAGAAACAATGCCTGACGTGTTTTGGAAGTAATATGGTCTTTGTTTACATTAGCAAGCATCGCTAACACTCAGAGCTAACCTGTACCGGAGAGAGTATGTGTAAAAAAAGCAGGAAATAAAAAAAGGAACTCACCTTGTGGTAAAACCGCAAGAGAAAAAGCATTTGAGCTCCATACTGTTTCAGAAATAATCCTTGATGTGGTTTGGAACATGATATGGCGTTTAATCACGGCAGCATTTAGCTGTATCTGCCGGAGCTCACAGTGTGCCTGTGTGTTCCAAAGGGGGCGGGCCCAGCAGCTACTGACCCAGAACTTCTCTAACAGGGCTGAAACAGAGGGATATGAGGGATGTCTAAAATGCATGATCTGTTTGGTATTTTGAGCAAAACACATCATAGACATGTTTTTAATATATATTTATATATCTGAGACCCATAATATATGCCTAAAAATAGCATGATAGGAGACCTTTAAAGGGAAGCACACTGGTTAAGCTGTCTGTGTGTGTCTCGTGTCAACAGGTGCCTCTGGAGGAAGGATTGAACAAAACCATCCAGTACTTCAGCCGGGAGCTGGAGCACCAGGCCAACAACCAGTACATCCCCAAACCTAAAGCCGCCCGCATGAAGAAAGGAAGACCCCGACACAACTGAGGAAGAGTTCCCCCCCCCCCCCCACACACACACACACACAGAAGTATGTTAAAAACTCCTCAGAGGACCCTCGAAGAGCGACTCTCTGAAATACACTGTTGAGAAAAGCACTCTTTGAGAAGCAGAGACGATTCTCTCTTTAAAAGTGTTGCGATGGAGCTGCACTGTGGGGGAAAGAACTCTCCACACAGGAGCTCAAGTGTTGAAAGGACAAGTTTGAAGAAATCTGAACCCAGCCTACCTTGTTTTTGTGATTTATTTTGCTTTTTTTTGCTATTTAAAAATGCAGATGTGAGAATCATGCTTCATTTATTTGATCTGTTTTATGGCGTTTTGTCTGCAGAGGTGAACTACCTGACTGTGTTTTTTTTCACTGGAAGCTTTTGACCTCTTATCAGTGGCGTGTCGGTTGTTCAGAGCTCTGCAGGACGAAGAATCAGCATCTTTACGTGTTTGTCAGAACTTCATCGTGCTGTATCAATATCCGATGAAGATGCTATTTTAATAAAATATTTCCAATATTTTGCGTATCACATCATTAGGGAATGTGTGTGTGTGTGTGTGTGTGTGTGTGTGTGTGTGTGTGTGTGTGTGTGTGTGTGTGTGTGTGTGTGTGTGTGTGTGTGTGTGTGGTGTGTGTGTGTGTGTGTGTGTGTGTGTGTGTGTGTGTGTGTGTGTGTGTGTGTGTGTGTGTGTGTGTGTGTGTGTGTGTGTGTGTGTGTGTGTGTGTGTGTGTAGGAGACATTTGCAACATAAAGTCATGTCTTTATTTACAATAATGTAGTGTAGATAAAGAGCTAGATATCAGATTTTAAAAGTATTTCATAGAAATCAGCTGCCTCATACCTAGGGCTGGGCGATAAATTGATAACATGATATGAGATTGGATTTTGTCTGAGATTTTGGACATCATAATATCATATGTTTTCCCTGGCTTTTAAGGCTGCATTACAGTAAAGTGGTGTCATTTTCTCAATTTTTCTGATTGCTGTTTATCCATTCGCCTTTACCATTATGTCACCATTACTCATGATTATTTGTCAGAATTCTCATTGTGTAAATGATCTGTGAAAGCCCTACAAAAACACAATATCGATATCAAGGTCAAAATATAGGTATATGATATTGTTCATTTCGCCCCGCCCCAAATTGAGTTATTGCTGTCTTTGAACATTGCTCTATAATAGTATGTGGGTAGAATATCATCGGTTATACAGTAAAAAGCAGCTGTGGAGAACTTGGTTATCGACAGCTTCATGCCACAGTTAATAGTAGTCGTAGTTGACATCGGCTCCGTGTCTGTAGGAGCTGTGGTCCCGGGGTCCGATGGGAGCGTTCTCATCGTACTGGTGCTGCCGACCCTGGTCCATCCAGTAGGAGAGGTCGGTCTCCAGCCTCTGTGGAGCAGGAAAACAACATGGATGTAAGTCATTATCACGCTCAGCCTCGACAAATGTGGAGCTAATGGACACACAGGCAGCTGATAAGGGATCTGCTGACTGTCAGCAGCCACAACTGTTGCCAATAGATATGCATGAAAGGCAAACTTTGAAAAGGCCACCGCTTTCACAGCTTTGGCCTTTTAATGAGCAACGGCAAATGGCACACTCGTACACGGCGTAGTGAATGGGGTGTTGAGAGAATTACTGCTACGCTGGCTGAAATGGAAATGCTGTCAACTGTCAGCAAACGGTGGCTGTAAAGGGTAATTTTGTGCACTCTTCCTCCGTATTTTCCTCTCCTGCTCTCTCCATTCCTTGCTGTCCCTGACGGCCACTGACCTGAAAGGAAACCGGCTCTGAAGGGATGAACACGTTTGTGTGTGAGAGGGAATTAATGTAGTCAGCTCCACATTTGTATTCATTCATGCAGTTATACAGCAGCGTTGTGAGGATGACCGCCTTTTGAAGAGATTATCCTTCACACTACTGTTTACACCTTCATGTTTTCTGTCCTCCACATATCTGAGAAATCTTCGGAGAACTTTTTAACTGTTTGTTTTTCTTTCTGTGTTTGTGTTTATTGCACAGCCCATCTTTTAATCCAGGTTTAAAACTCCTTTTTTCGGTTGTGTACTTTCAAATTATAGTGCACTCGAGCTGGTTTCACCATTCTACCCTACCTTTAAAGGTCCCATGTCATGGCCATTTCTACTGATCCTAATTCCATTGTTGAGGTATACTAAAATAGATTTATATTGTGCAATTTTCCAAAATCACATTGGTTTCTCATACAGCATCTCTGTATAGTATGTGTATTCACTCTGTCCTAAACGGCTTGTTGGAGCTCCTGCCCCTCCCCTCCCTATGAGCCCAGTGGCCGTCTGCGAGACAGCGAGACACAGCGAAACCCAGCCCGAACACACACACACACCCGCAGCCTGGCTGGGAGTTTGTGTGTGTGCTCACACACCGACTCACAGCCTCGCCGCGTCCCGCCGTCTCGGAGGAGAAATCGGCGGAGCTGCAGCTGAGAAAAGATTGTGTGTGTGTGTGTGTGAGGAAGTTACTTAACGTAACGGCTCCGCGGACGTAACGGCTCCGCGGACGTAACGTAACGGCTCCGCGGACGTAACGTAACGGCTCCAGGGATTGGTCTATTTGGACCAATGGGTTCATTTGGGTATGGGCACGTCACTGTACCCAGGAAGAAAACAATGGAAAAAGAGAAATCTCCAACGAGGCGTTCTGGGGCAGCATAGACTGGTATTTTCTGTGTTAGAGTTTTACTCGCTACAGGGTGTACTTTGAGGGTTTGTGACTTTGCAGACCGTTTACATGCAGAAAAACCTTCATAACACACAAGGGGACGGGTAATAACCGGAAAAGCATGACATGGGACCTTTAAGTAAACGCTCCACGTGTTGTGAAGTTGGTGACAATGTTTCTTCATTTTTATAATTACACAATTTTTAAGTGCATCACGTTTCCTAATGGAAGTGTCCTGGGCCGTTGGAGCGCATTTGCACCTGTCGGCCATCGTACATGTTTGCTGTTGAAGCCAAACTCAACATGAGAAACGAGTGTTCTTGTTTTCCTCCTAACCCCTGTGTAAAGGAGGAGTTGTTAATCTATTTGCTCTTTTTCTCGTGTGGATCAGTTGTGTTGAGCATGTTGGCAGCTTTGTTTGTGACAGACTGCAGGAGTTCACTGTGCATACTATAAACTCTCCGGGAACAGGCGGAGACCCACCTGCTCGTCAAAGCCCATGTCCATGAACTGCTGGATCCACTGCTGCACGTCCGGCCTGCTGCGGTCCCACAGGTTCCTCTTACTGCGGCTCAGCTTCGACAGAAACCCCTGAGCTGTGGAGGGGGGGGGGCGGCCAAGGAGGACCTGGAGAGGGCAGCACCTTCTCCGGCCGCTAGGGGGAGGCAACATTTGGGGCAAAAACATGGAGGTATTTCCAGAGATCTGAATCAAGTTTATTGACAGGTACATGTACACATACAAGGGATTTGCTTTGGTGTATGGTGGTGCAAACATGAACAACCTAAGAAAATAAGTTGCAAGAGTAGATCAAAAATATAACGATCGTAAAAAGAAAGTATTTTAAGGAAGCTATTTAGCGTTACAAAAAATAATAAAGTACACCAAATTTAAATTGTAATACACAAAATAACCTAAAAAACTAAGGACAATGAATATATGACAATATGGAAGAAGTACATATAATAATACTATAATAGTATAGCCTATTGTAGTTAAGTGAACGCGCACGTGTGTTTCTCAAGTAACATTTGAAAAGTATGAGAAAGAAAATATACTTATAGTACCAAAAGTAAAATTACTCATGAACACAGAACGATTTCACAATAATATTTATTATATATTTTTGTTTACAATTATTGATGCTTTAATGTGTTTACTTCTTGTATGCTGCAGAGTAGCTTGTGAATTTACTCCAGGTGTCAATAAAGTCTTATTTAAGTGTTGATTATATTTCATTTCATTCATCCAAATCTGCCTAGTAACTAAAGGTCAAATTAAATGTAGTGGAGCAAAAGTACACAATTTACTTAAGTACAGTACTTGAGTAAATGTACTTAGTTACTTTACACCAATGGGGATTTGCAAAATATACAGTTTATCTTTGTTTGAGTTTTTATGTTAAGTCAATTGTTACCTTCTCATTTCCTTAAGATCCTGTGCACTGTCACTGGAAACATCTGAGAGGAGAGGGGACAAAGAGCTGCAGTTTGAAACACCATACTTCTTCACAGGTAATACATAGGCTTTTAAATCCTTAAACACACTTGAAACAACTTTCTGTCTTCTTTTATTTCTATACAGTCTCAAGCTTTATTGCCAGGGTAAATGTAAATGTAGTTTCTTTCATTTTTTCTATGTAGCGCTGGTCAGTTCAAATATTCTGCTGCTTTTTCATGCATTTAGACTTTTATTTTCTTGTTCTTATTTCACATTCAAGTCCCCTCTATTCATGAACCCTTTAAAGTACTCAGCCACACCACTTATATACCACTTGCGACTGTTGTCAGTTATTCTTTCAAATACAAGGTTGCTTGTTTGATTCAAGCTCTTGTAGTCAATATGTCAAGGTATTTATCCCTAACATTTTATCAGCTAACTAATGACACACACTCAGAGGATCTTTATAAACGTTTTAAGTATTGCACATCTTTAAACATGACTCTTATAAATCACTTTTAAAACCAGCGATGCACTACAGTGTCAGCTTTTCTAAAATAGAAACTTCAATGTTCACATCTTTCTAAATGATTCTACTTTTCAATGATTTACAAATAATCATAATATTCCCATTTTCAATCTTCCAACTGTTCATATTTTTTGGTCAATTAACAAAACTGTTACAAATGTGTTCAACAAATTTGAGCCTTTGCCACATTTATTTGATCACCATGGAAACCTTTGATCTCTGGACACGTCGTTAGCTCAAATATAAACACCTGTGTCATGGAACACGATGATGTCATAACTCCAACTGACATGCTCAGAGCAGCAGACTTCAGATAATGGTTAACACAGCTCTACGCCAAATCTGAGATCTCACCATAGGCTGTTGCCATGGAAACGCATTCCTCGCCATAAAACACGATGTTGATGTAGCTCCAATGGACACGGTCCGGTCGTCCCACAATCTTCACCTGTATATCACCTCTCCATGCCTCAACAGCTCTACGTCAAATCTGACATCTCACCATATGCCGTTTCCATGGAAACGCATCCCTCACCATAAAACCCGATGTTGTCGTAACGCCTATGAAAAGGGTCAAAACAGCACCACACTTCAGATAATGGTTAACGGTCCAGCCCTCAACAGTTCTACGTCAATTATGGGGTTTCATCATATGCCGTTTCCATGGAAACGCATCCCTTGCCATAAAAGACGATGTCGCTATAACTCCTATGAAAATGTTCAAAAGGTGCTCAAACTTCACATGTGTGCTAACAGTCCAGCCGTGAAGACATCTACGGGACAGTTTTGAGATTTCTTCAAATGCCGTTGCCATGGCAACACAATGCTCGCCATGAACCACGGTTTTCTCATAACTTCAGTGAAAATGCTCCAAATGGCCCAAAACTTCAGAGGTTTGGTAACGGCTACAGCAAAGTTTTGGCAATGAAATCTTAAGTCCCATGCTATCCAACAAACAATATTCTTTACACATAAAAGCAAATAGAGAAATAAAACCGTGCAGACCCAATGGTATTTATAAAATAGATGCTACATGGACAAGCGAAACACAGGTGAAATATATTTTGAGCGACAATCTTTAACACTAAAATCTATACATGTTTTTTCATATTGATCTGCTTGCACTGCGGCAGCTTGTTTAATGTGCCTCAGTAGTTTTCACACTTCACAATTTCCTCGTTTCAGCTAACTAAACAAGTTTCATGGACGATTACATTATCTGTTTTCATAATAAATGCAAATGTAAATAGTTCAGCGGACCAACACACATCGATGTATATTTACAGTGACCTCCTTCCTGCTGCTCTCCTCTCCCAGCGGAGCTACACTGTGAGCAACGATTTTTCACACATATATATACATACATGTTCTTTAAGTGTGCAGTAATGAGTTTTACTTCTACCCAGCTGACAGATAACCCTGTTCTGCCATTGACCGTTTTCTCGCAGCTCAAATCCCTCGCCAAATCTAGGGCACGTTTACTTCAGTCCTGGAGGGTTTAATTAATCTCTTGTTCAGAAAGGTTACAGTAAAACATGAAGCTGAGTTTGTATCTAAGCCTAAACATAGACTAGGACCCTGAGAATATTCACAGAAATCCAATCCCTATCTTTAGGTGAACTTTGTCAAGGCTTAAGCTACAAACTTCTGTACTGTGTTGGAAAGAGTGGAAGGATATATAGGTGTGTAGTTTGTTGTGTTGCAAATGAGCTTCTCATCGCTCCAGAGCTTTTACATTCCTCCAACAGCCATCATTATAAAGTAATAAATCCCCCGACAGCATTAATCTGCTTATCATATGTGTTGCATGCATTAACTCCAGGGATGCCAATGTTGGTGGTTCCAGATTTAAAGAATCGTGTGTTTTGAATATCATTAAATGTGTAAAAAACACTCATGGCCCACAGATGATCCCTCCTACTGATTCAGTGATCCTGACTTTTACTAATTTTTTTATTTGAGTGGTTTGCCTCGACACGTATTTGATGGATTGATGTGAATTTTTGTAAAGACATTAATGTCCCCTCTCCAGATGAATTATGGGACATTAGAACTGATGTTGAAAAAACACAATAAAACAAGACATTTTTCTTCATTGTCATAACCCAACCTGTTTGTGAGTGACAGCTTAAATGCCTTTATAACGACAAACATTTTAAAGGGGTTTTCTTTGTTATTTAATGTATTTTCCCATTTATATTGTGTGTGATTTGCATAACAGCATTTGAAAAATAATGGTATACTTGTATTTTGTAGATGTTTGTGTCTTTGTCTTACCCTCCTGGTACTGAAGATTGTAGATTTTAGCTCTTACTGTATAAATATGTAGTTATAAAAGTATGTTCGTGGTGATGGAGTTCCTGTGTCTTGTCAAGTCTTTGAAGGTTTAATGTCCGACCAAATTCGAATGAATAAAATAGATAAGTTATTAAAATGGATTCTCTATATTAAAGATTAGCATTCAAATACATGTGATGCATTAAAAGGCAAGCATCAGGGATGTTAATCATACTGATTGGAAGTCAATTGGATACAATGGAGAGGCCTTTCATTCCTGCTCTTTTGTATAATGAGTCCATACTGTCACCTGAAGTGTGTGTGGCTGCGTTTACCTTTTCATGTTTCTAACATTTGACATGCTCCCACTTATAAAACCACACACTCATCATGCAGTTTGAGGTGTTCTTAATTGCTAATGGCTTCGAGATCTACAACAACAGCACAAGACCAGAGGGTGACCGTCAACATCTGGCCTTGTATGATAAAAGAAAAGGTGACATTTTAAATGCAAAGCAGAATAAAAGAAGAAGGTTGAGCTCACCTCTGAGTGCAAAGAGTGTCAGCAGGACAGCCAGCCCCATCAATCTCACACACAGCTGCTGGGATGCCATGTTGTACTCCAGTCTTTGCTGATTAAAAGCAACAACTGTGCAGAAGAGCTGCTGCACAACCCGAGGGGAGAGTTGGCCGACTCCCAGACTCTCCAAATGGAAACGGCATCTGGGGCGGGAATGCCGTTTAGCTCCTCGCCTACGGTCAGGAACAAGTCTGCAACTGGAGGATTTTCCGCTTTTAAAAGGGAAAATGTCAAGTGACTCCCAGGTACTTTACCATCTCCAAATATACAGTGCAGGAGCAGCTGTGAGGAGGAAGACAGAGCAGATTCCTATTCCTGAATGTGGCGTATAAAGCAGGGTTCTTTGTGAGGAGATAGTCAGGATTTGTCATTTCTGAAAAAGCCTCCTGCTGTAGTAATGGGTTCAAAAACAATACTCTTTTCACTCAGGATAACAATTAATACACTGTTCTCGTAACCCAACTGTTCATCAATTTCACAAACGGTCTCTCTTTCTCTGCAGTATTTATTACAGCCATTTTATAATTTCACCTTTAAAATCACCTCGGCATCTGAACAGTACCAAGAGCTTCTTTATATTCAATTCAATAAATAACACTTAGTGACCAACAGGGAAATATCTGATTCTATTTCCTCTTTTGTAAAACATACATTATTCTGCCTATAATTCTTAGGAAGGAGAGTGTCCTCAGCGGGGGTCTCATTATCAGCAAAGGGTTTTATAAGGTAACTGCTGCAGTGAGTTTAACAATGATGGTGCAGGTTAAATAACACGAAGGCAGCAGGAATGTAATTCTTTTCAGTCTAATTGTTTTACAACCGCGGCTCTAGTTTAACTTCCCCTCTCAGGTTATCAATTAGACTTTATGTCAGGAAGTGATCCACGTTCCCGTCGTTTCCTTTCTATTTACTCTGTGTGCACTTTGTCTGGCCTCGGTATGTGATCACTCTTAGATGTTGGTGTTTTCAATTGAATGAAAACTGTTTGTTGTACACTGAAGTAAAAAACGTTTTTGGATTATTTGACAGTTTTCATCGAGTCTTATTTGTAAGGGAAAGGTTTTTGTTTTAATATTATTAATAAAAAGTTATAATCTCACTTGAATGGCTGCTGTCACTGTTTATCAGCCTTTCAAAGTGTGTGTGTGTGTGTGTGTGTGTGTGTGTGTGTGTGTGTGTGTGTGTGTGTGTGTGTGTGTGTGTGTGTGTGTGTGTGTGTGTGTGTGTGTGTGTGTGTGTGTGTGTGTGTGTGTGTGTGTGTGTGTGTGTGTGTGTGTGTGTGTGTGTGTGTGCGTGTGCGTGTGCGTGTGCGTGTGCGCGCGCGCGCTGGATATGGAAAGTGTTTGGATCCACAAACAGCCTCTCTCTGTCTCTCACAGGTTCAGGAGGAATGCAGGAAACCCTGGCTGACGATTGCATTGCTTTCATATTGGATTCGGAGAGAAGGTGAAGTGAGGGACATCAAAGAGAGAGAGAGGTGAGAGGCAGACGAACACATCTACAGCACAGTGTGACGAAGAAGACTTTAGGAACTCTTGATTGTTCATTGCATCGTTCAGGCCTGAAATAAGTGGCTACATCCTCTTTGTGACGCCTGCATTTCTCACACACACACACACACACACACACACACACACACACACACACACACACACACACACTGAACAACCTTGATTCATGGCCGATGTTCTGTAAAGCTCAGAGAAAGGCAGGCCTCCGCTTACAGACAAGCCATAGAGAGCACTTACCGTTTGTTATAGTTTGTTGACCCAGATAGGTAGAATAAGTCAATGTGCTTGTGTTTGTTTAGTTTGCCAGGACTAAGGATTTAAACAACATAATATAAAGAATATATTTATATATATATTCAACCTCCCTCCATAAAGCGATTTCTCTTGTCGCACCCTCCATCTTTATCCTCTTACTTGACTTGAGTGTTGTCGGATTTATTTTGCTGTCTCAAAACACAAAGTCAAATTCAGACTACAATGAAAGCTTCTTCCGACCTGAAAGATGTGCAGACTTTTATTTATTGTTGCATTCAACATGGATGTCCTGAGGCCCTGGGCACACTTTAACAGCTCAATAAAACACTGGTCCATCACCTTTATATGTACTTATATACAAAGGGGGAAATCATTCAATATAGATTATTGCTGATGGTAGTTTTTAAAAGTTGCACACCCCCCAAATCCTAAATGAGTTCAAGCATAAAAATAGACCTAACATGTGGAGTTACATACTGTTCATGTATTTCTCTGTGCTCATGCATAACCCAGACTGCATGAGAACAATCATGTTTTTGATGGTCATTTCCATAATTTTAAATAAAGCCAAGCACAGTTTGTGGCAGAAGGGAATTCTTCTTCAAAATAAGTTAATATTACATAACGTTAGTGGCAGTGGCGGCCGGTGGTCTTTTTTTTTGGTGGGGCTCTTGACGTACCGCAAGTGACCTACCCGGGGGGTTTCCCCCCGAATTTTTTTTTCGAGAAATGACCCCTTAAATGATGACTTCTGGTGATGTTAGAGGGGGGGGAAAGGAGAAATCGAGGCTTAAAAATATGAGAAGACTGATCAATACCTCCATAATCTTCAGTGTGGAAAATATTATTTATCAACCTGAACATCTACTACTTTACCAGGAATTTGTGTTCTCAGAACTGGTCTGTTTTTTTCTTTCTTAAAACTGTTCATGTTTTATGAACCAACACCTTCACCAAGTAGCTTTACAGTGAACTGCATGTGAGATATAAAATTAATAGCATCTTTTCAGTAGCATTAATTATAAATATTTAAGTGGTTCAATACAAGTCACTACAGCATTTCAAACTGAACTGTGAATAAATGCAATTTAAAAAAAATAACCACAGCACAAAATGTCATAAATTGTGTTTTTTTCTTTGTTTCTCTGAGGATTATTTACAAACAGGCTTATTTACATATATCAATAACTCAGAAATGAAAAAGCTACATCGTCTAACACGAACAACCAGTTAGCATAATGATAATATATGTGTTATGTACAATGTATCTGGCAAGGCTAGAGCAAGAAAGAACATAAAGTTTGCAAAAGGTTTAAATAACTTCAAGTATCTGTCTTCAGATTACGTGGAGGTTTTAGTCCGATGGGAAGCAGATTTTAAGCGACACCGAAGATAAACCAAAAATGTGGTGGAGCTGCAAACCGTGTAGTGTTGCTCGGACAGAACAGGAGCTATAACCGTTGGAAAATACATCACAGACAATGCAACAAACGTGGAGACAGAACAATCACTTCTGTGATAAATGCCCACTTATTAATAAACTTCTAACAACCATGGGAAACCTCCTCTCTACATATAAAGTGATATCCAAGCATGGGAAACAAAAGACAGCATTTACCTGTTTGCATCCAGCTAGCCAAGCCTTTCTTGTGTACCAGCTACTTGTGAAGCCTCGTGTATAAATTTTGTCTTTTTCACGAGATTGCTGCGATATATTCAAATCGGGTTGGTCCGGTGCAAGGTCTTTAAGCAACAATTTATCTGCCAAACTTCTCCTTTCGAAAGGATTGGAGATTAGCTCTTGAACAGAATTAGGCGGGGACCGAGGTCCGGAGACTCCACCTGCACACGAAGCCATCCTCATCAACTACTGCGTCAACCGGATACGAGTCACTGTCCAAACTACTCACAGACTGCACTGGGCGCTGACATTGGCGCCCGGTGACCGTCATCTTTGACGACGCTAATTGGCTGAAATTATATTTTCGCGGCATAGTTTACACGTTACAGATAGCAACAGTCAGCTGCTGGTGGCTGCTGCTGCACTGGTTAAAGGCTCCTCTCTTAGCGCCCAGACGAGAGAAGGTGCATGGGCAAGGCCAGGCAGGAAACATGTGACTTATCAGTAACTTTAGACATCGTAACACAATTTTAAACGAGATTTTATTGTAGATTATACATTTTACTGATACCAATTATATAATATTTACCTTGTTCATTAAAAATAAAAATAAAAACATATATATTTTTTTAAACATATTTTTTTTTTTTATTTTAATTTTAATTATTATTTTTTTTTATCAATATGGGAAGAGGTGGGGCGGCGCCCCTAGCGCCCCTATGGACCGGCCGCCACTGGTTAGTGGGAAATAAAGCGAATAGCCTATAATCGAAGAAATGTGAAAGAAATGAGAAATTGTCATTTTTTCAAAGCATTTTTAATAAAAACCAAAGGTTCAAATATCATAAATCTCCAAACTTCTCTTAGTTTTAAATGTCTCTCTCATGTGAAAGTGACCTCTGCCTGCCCTCACACCCTTACATCTCCCTCCTCTCACTCCTCGAGGTCAGACTCTGGACTGTCGTACCCCAGCTGGGTTGCGATGGGGAAGTGAGCCCAGAAGGTGTGAGCCAGGTCCTGGACCCCCTGGTGATCCCCCTGCGCCCGGAGCTCCTCCAGCCAGCCGATGAAGTCTGAGGACCACATCCCCCAGTAGGGGAGACTCCTCCTCCCCCTTTCCCCCCGGCTGCCGGCTGACTCTCCCTCCTCTGCTGCTGTCAAAGAGCACAGACGCAGAAATCATACGTGAGCACACCTGGTCCATTATATCAGATTTCCTGAATATCACAGAGTCAAGTCCATTCATGTGTGTGACCCGCTCACATACCTGAAGCAGGCATGACTGAGAGGAGGAGATAATGGAGCAGCACGAACACCAACACGGCACGCATGCTTTCAGGAACTTTCAAGAAAGAACACAAAAGGTCTCGACCTGTAAAAAAGGAATTTGTTCTACATGCTGCAGGAGAAATATGTGTGAATACAGGTGCATAGAGAACATCAGCAGAATGTGGTGCAGGAATGTAATTCTCTGCAGGCCACCGCAGGATTTAAAACTCTTCTCCATGAGGAAGAAAAATCCATGAGTCAAGAATCTATAGCTTCATCAAATATCATCTTCTGTTTAGTCTTACCGGATCAGCAGGAGATTACGCCGCCTGTCCCTCGTCCTTCTGTCTCAGACTGAGCTCAGGATGAGGACTGCATCTGGACTAGAAATACTCAGGAAGGCGGACATGTTTGTTTTTCACATATTGCCTCCGTACACCTTCCTGCCCCCAAAGGACGTCAGAGAGCCGCCTTCACACGTCTCAGGCCCGTTAGTTGTTTATAGAGTGATATAAACATGTATAAGAGATCTAATGCGTCATTTACAATGAGACGACACATCTGGACCGGCCGCAGGTCCTCATCTCCATAATGACTTTTACTATGATATATTTATATTTAACAGTGTTGATGTCACAACCATCAGGCGCTCAGTGTGAGATTACTGCCTTGAGCTGCCCGGAATAATGTGCAACATTTTCAAGGTGAAAGAAGTGAAAATGTGGATGAAAAGACAAGTGTGTGACAGACAGTTTTCACACCTTCGATCCAGACAGACTGTCCCAACATTCAGCCAAAGGGCCGATGTTATTTTTCAACTTGTCAGGTTTTTTTGACGATCCATTACTCAGTGGATGTTTGTCTCTCTCTGAAGGCACTGCCAGGAAGAGAGGGGGCTTCTGGGTGATCTCATGCTGAGTCTGTCTGCAGAGCTTCAGGACAAACCTCTCAGAGCCGGTTACTGTCAGTCTCCACACAAAGGCCAGCTTCACCTGATGGGGGACGTTTTGTGTTGTCAGGCCGTAACATTCTCAGGAGCGCCATATCTTAGAAATGTCTTCAATCTTGGCACAAACGCCAGAAAGCTGATGAGATTTAGGTGTTCAGAGGTCAACCTCACAATGGTAAATGGACTGTGCTTATCCAGTCTTTAAGACCTCTCAAAGTGCTTTACATACTACATGTTGTTCACCCATTCATACAGAGCAGTGTACCTTACTCTAGGAACTAACATTCACACACATTCACACATCGTTGGCCATGCCATCGGGAGCAACTCAGGGTTAAGTATCTTGCCCAAGGATACATCGACATGTTGACTGCATGGGCTGGGATCGAACCCACAACCTTCTGGTTGAAAGACGACAGCACTTCCTCGCAGCCACAGTCGCCCAGACAATGACCTCCTAAACTACAAAACTGACGTCTTGAAGCCTTGACCGAAGGCAAAACATGTTGTGAATGCAATATCTTAAAAATGCAGTCAGGGAATTTCATCAAATTGTCAAAAAAACTTCCATTTGCCTCTGATCAGATTTGACTGTTCAAAGATCAATGTCAACCTATCTAAACAATTTTTTTTGCTAATTTCAATAATGAATACACTACTTATCAATATCACACTAATATCCAATAAGATGCATACAGGTAGGCCATACTTCTAGTTTATTTTAATTCTATTTCCTCTTCTGAATACATATCTAAAAGAACACAGCACAATGCAAAGTTTTATTTAAAAAATACAAAATGAAAAAACATTTTTTTGTGTAATGTAGTATTTGCTAAATGTTTGTCAGGAGAAGCCTACATGGTTCTTTTGACAAAGATTATTTAAGCAACATATTAGTACATTTTATTTGTATTTTGACTTTATCAAAACAGGAAAAAGCTTATTGAAATTAAATAAATCTCAATCTATTGTGTTTTAAGTGTCCTGAAGTATTAACAGGTAATTTCAGGATAGACTGATAACATACTGTATGCCCAATAGAATTGTATACATCTATATATATATTTTATCCTGAAAACGGCCGAAATGGCACCTTACAGTAAGTGTTTCCATTTCCTGAAGAGAGGACAGATTTTCACACACTTCAATAAAATGAGGCTCATAAATATTCATCAGGAAGCTAATCTTTAATCAGCTGATTAAGGGCTTCAACTCATGTAGTTAAGCAATTAGATGTAGCCATGATCTCCATCAGCCAATCACGTCACTGCTGTGAAACTTTAAAGCTCTTGCTGCCTTCAGATGGGATTTTAGGCGAACTTCCTCCAGCCCGTTCACCTCCAATCATCACATCCAGTATCTGAGCTAATCAGAAGTTCTCATCACATCCACTCTCTTCATCTCACCCCCAGGGGAGGTTTTCTACTCTACTTCACCATATTAATAATACATGATCTCACGAAGGGCACTAATCGCCACAGTCTGTTCACATTTCTCCTCCTCTTCCTCGTGCATACATTTTCTTTCACTCAGGAATAACTCTCTCCTGATTGAAGCTCTTCTTTAGAGATGAGGTGTTGCTCTTCTGATATGTGTGCATCCTATCTCTGGTCTCTGGTTTAGTCTCTGGTGCCAGGCAGCCTCAGTGTACAGGGAACCGTAAGAGATTTACTTTTTGTGATCCAGCATCATAACATAAACAAATGTATTCCCAGAGCCAAAGGCATGAAAGTGTCTGAAATACATATATGTTTTATCTAAGAGGAAGAGGCAGGCACGTTGCTGAATGTTCACATAAATGAGTCGTCTTCAACACATCCTTAACATGTATGAGAATAAATAAATGTAAATAATATCTGTGGTTTCATCCATGATGTTCAAAGCTGAATAATGCTGTGAGAGAGGGCTTGTGTTTGTGTTGGCACGGTCAAATAAACAAACATGTCACCAGCATAGTAATGGATATTTGCATATCGGTACATGTTGGTTCTCTACAATAACAATGTGTCCAAGTACATATTCATCATATTGAGGAAACATGTCATGGCTCGTCGATGTGGATTTCTGGACAAATGTAGACGTTTATGCAACGGTGTCCATCCTTTTTTAAACCTTAAAACAAGTCAGTTTGTTGAAGCCATTGTGGATATGTTCTTATTTACAGTTCAAATGAAATATTATGCTTTTTTTTGTAGTGTATTTTGTTATGCTGATCTAGTTTTGGATCGCCCTGTGTTGACGTGCATGAATGTCTTTATTGATGTTGCTTTTATTCTGATTATCGCTTATTGAACTAATGGTGATGTAACCTATGGCATGGTTTTCTTTAAACCCTTCATTTCAACTTTTGTCTTAATTTTTCTTTAGATAAACACAAAAAACGTTATGATTTATATGGATTAAGTTAGATTTTCTGACAGCTCAACCCACAGTGTTTACTTATCACAGGTTATACTCTTTCTGTTACAGTAATATGAACTGGGAGCAGTTTGACCAAAGTGAAACTGTTTCTTTGCAAAGGAAATCATTGTATTGTAGGGTAACGTCCAGATGTTTTCACAAGATGCTCTCACGTAAGAAACCCTGAGCAGCCTTATCTCTGAGGAAAGAAGCGACCTGGGCTTCTGGAAGATGTAAAGGGGGAAGATAATGGGAGCCATTACCTGTCAATGCATCACTTCTTGGTAACAACTTAATTGGCTGTATTTATGGGGCCCTATATACTCTGCCATCACAACCTACGTCCATTTAGTGTAATCGGTCTGTCATCTCTTCAGAAAGGGGAGACCAACAGGACAGGGGGAATTGTCATGTAGTATCTACCTCTGCACAATGAAGGCCTTTGCATTCGTTATTTGTCATATTAATAATTGTTTTCGATTTTTCTTTTTAATGAGGGATACATTTTCTAGGAGCAGAAAGAGAGCACACACGTCTCTGCCCTGCCTGTGAGCTTATGTGTTTCAAAATCAATCATTTGAGATGTTTATCAGATTTGCTTTTAAACTACAAACCCCCTAGACACCCAGGTCGTCTATTACTGGCCTTCTATTTATAATTTAGTTTTATATTATTATTTTAATTTGACCTAAAGTGAAAACAAAGACCCACGGTCTGCGGGCGGCAGAGAGCGGTTATGTTTATGTTTTGTGAAGCACTGTTACCTTTTGAGTAGGAAGAGGGCTACAGGAATAAACTAAGATTTGATGTGATTTTGATCAATTTTCTTGTCAAACGAGTCAGTTTGGCTGCTGGAGTTTGTTAGAAGGCAGTGAGCTTATTGTAGGTACAATCTAAAAATAACAGTTCAGAAGGAGAAGGAGAGGAAGAACCTTTTTTAATCACCTATGGGAAATTCATTTTTTCTCTCTGTTATGGTATCCACACACAGTCCAGGTGCAGGGGCGGTTCTAGGGGGGGCAACAGGGGCCAGTGCCCCCGTAACACTGACCAGGGACCCCCCCTGTGCCCCCCTTCCAAAAAAAAGGTTACAATATTACGATTTATTGGAACTAAATCAAATCAGAGACCCGGATGTACCGTGGAGATTAAACTGTTCATTACCTTATTAAATTGTCACTTAAAGTTACTAAAACAAATACTCTAAATGAAAAAAACTACTGAAATAAAGGACTGTAACTTAAATTTACTAAAACAAATACCAATTACTGTATTTTATGTTTATTTTACACAATTACTTTATACTGTCTTTGTCTTTTTAACCCGCTTTTATTATGCCCCGCATGAAATAACTGGCCCCAGCCTGCCCCCCCCCCCCCCCAGTCAAATTGGTCTAGAACCGCCACTGTCCAGGGGTTAGTGCTAGATCGTATACCTCCTGGGTTTTAGGCGGCGGAAGTGACGTTATCGTGGATGAGAAGTCGGCAATTTTTGCAGCAACTGACTGCACATCTGGTTTTTAATTTAGCATGGGCTCTTCGCGACTCTGGAGTCCTGCAGGAATCCGGAGGACAGCAAACAGGAGTGAGAGGGAGCACACTCCTAAAAAATCTCCCCCTTTTTTTTTAAATAAACCTCGTACTGTGTGTGTCACTGTAATCCGAAATCAAACGCACTCTGAGTGTTAAATCCCATCTGTGCTTTTCTTCTTGTGAGATGTCATTTTTGTAATATTGGTAATAGCATGCTGTCCTCCAAAGTTTTGAATTCTCAAAATATTACATTTATGATATTTTTGTGGGGAAATTATGTATTCATGCTCGTCTCTTGTTCTGGGTGGCAGGTATACGATCTAGCACTAACCCTGTCCAGATGACACACACATAGGAGCTATACACACACTGGGTCTGCATACAGATATACACGAACGCATGCATTATATAGAGAGCTGCCAAAATGAAGATGCTGCTGATGTTTTCTGGCGCCATGGAGCAGTTTGGTGTCCGGTGCCATGCTCAAGGACGGCACACAGCAGCTTAACTTTCACCTCTCCAGCTACCAGTCCACACTCT